AATCTCGGTTATTGTTACCGAAATGCTATTGGAACACAAAAAGATGAAGTAAAAGCATTTGAATGGTATTTGAAATCTGCAGAAAATGGAAATACAACAGGACAATTATTTCTCGGTAATTGTTACCGAAATGCTATAGGAACACAAAAAGATGAAGTAAAAGCATTTGAATGGTATTTGAAATCAGCAGAAAATGGTGATAGTCGAGGACAAATTCAAGTGGGCAGTTGTTATGAATACGGCATTGGTACTCGGAAAAATTACAAAAGCGCATTTAATTGGTATTCTCTATCGGCAAATAATAGAAATGTTGATGCTTATAATTCAGTTGGTCTATGTTATTTGAATGGTATAGGAACTTTTAAAGATGATTTAAAAGCTTTTGAATGGGCTGAAAAATTAGCAGAAAGCGGGAAAGCATTAGGATATTATAATCTTGCTTTTTGTTATGAACACGGTTACGGAACCGTAAGGGATGAAAATAAAGCTTTTGCGATGTATTTTAAAGCAGCAGAAATGAGAGCTAGTGGGCAATATAGACTTGGTATTCATTATTATTTTGGCTATGGAACTGTAAAAGATACAAACAAGGCATTTGTATGCTTTCAAAAAGCTGCTGAATCTGGAGATATTGAAGCATTTAATTATCTGGCTAAATGTTATTATTTTGGAAACGGCACCAAAATGAATGATCATAAAGCATTTGACTGTTATATACGCTCTGCAGAAATGGGTAATAAATATGGGCAGTTCAAAGTGGCAGAATGTTATCAATATGGATTTGGTGTTTCAAAAAATCTTGACATGGCTTTAAAATGGTATGAAAAAGCCAGGAAAAGTGGTCACGATAGAGCAGGAGAAATCATTGAGGATTATTTTAATTCTCGCAATAATTTATATTTTGAATAATTCTTAATAAACAGTAACATTATTTATTTGCTGGTAAAACTTTTTTGATAGTTTTCTTTAATTATTATAGCTTTGCTTATAAACTTTCTATAGATAGAAGTATTTATGGAAGTAATTTTGTCATCTAAATATTTTCTTGTATCCCTTTTTTATATTACCACTTTCAAAGGATTCAACTTAAATTCTTTAAAAGAAGTTGTTAAATTCGAATAATTATTAGGGTTTTATAATTAACAACATCTGTGCAAAGTTGACATATTTTAATAATGTATAATACTAGAAAACGCGAGTTCGAAATACTTCTATTGTTATTCTTGTAACCTTAGCTACGAAAATAAAATACATGTAATTGCGTGTTTCCCTATCATTAAACAACCAAACTTTTACGAAATTCCTACAAAATTCTTATCTTGTAACATCAATATTAAGGTAACTTCGAAAAATTCTTTGTGGTATCAACTTCTCCGATAACACTAATTTCTTACAAATGTTCCATGTGATTAAATGATCATATCATACGTTATTCCCTTGATCCATCAAAATTCCCACATTTTGTGTTATACATAATAAATTTAATCTATTCTTTTAATAATTACAATTATTCTATTATTATTCTTTGTAACGAAGTATAGTCATGCCCATCTTGTAAGAATTCTTATGACAATCCTTAGGAATTCATGTAGCTTATGATCTGTAAAATAGATAGTTAATTAGCGATAAAATGCGTATAAAAGACCGTTCATGAAAGTTTGAGAGACAAGTCAATGTGCGATTTGAAGAAATTATTTTTAATTTTTACTAACAGCGCATAAATAAAATTTATATCTAATATTTACCTAACATTGCTTCAGCTTTTATCACTTTTGTGTCTTAATAAAGGCATTAACTTTGTTTCTTTTGTGCTTACAAAGAAGGCTTTATTAATTTGGTTATACTACAGTAAGTTGATGAATCGTGTTGATCCTTTATCACGTTTGTTTCTTTTGATTTATTATTATACTTCAATTCTTTTGTTGACTCCTTATTATTGTTTCAGAATAGACCTATTTTTTGTGATTGAAAAGATATTATTTGAGTCTGTTAATAAAATTAGTATAGTCACGTTTGTTATTTGAATTGAAGTTATACTTTGTTAGTAAATAGTCATTATTTATGTTTGAATCAAATATTATTATTTCATGCTTGCCTTTTGATAGTACAATTTGCGCGTAAATTGAATAGGAGGCCTTTAGAACCCAATGCAATTCACACTGAAAATCATTAATTCTGGCTATCTGACCCTTCTCCCATCTACAATTCTTTAGTTTAACTAACTGAGTTGTGTGTCAATATTGCTTGTACGATAATATTTTTCAATAGCAATTTTTCCTATTTTAATCCACTTTAAAAAACATAGTATCCCTGTGAGGGTACATGTATTCGATTTTCTGTGTTCCGTTTGAGCCGCAAATTACTTTAAAATTTAATTCGAAGCTGAATCAGACAATCATAATATTATTTTTGTCATATAAATGGGGGGGGGGCAATCCATCATTGATGAATTTGTAAAGTGAAACAAAAGTAATCGACAATTTATAAACTCAATAAAATTAGCAACATTTTTTCGAATGTTGAATAGATGTATCTTGCAAGTAAAAATGTCCTGGTAATTATTAAAGTTGGATCAGTAGACAACTTTATGAACACATAGATATTTACGTTGAAATCATTACAAATTCAAAGTAAATTAGAAATGAACTTTTCCTATTACGAATGCAAAAATACAAACATATTTTTGAAAACAGATAAAACTGCTCTAAAATTTTTACAATACTATGATTGTTCAAAAATTATATGTACTATATACTTGCGGAATAACGCCATCTGCGCGTTATTTCGAACTCCTTGACTGTTATTACGAGTGCGCACGTACATGTGCGTTATTTCAAAAAAGAGCCAATTGCCGATCCGGATATTTTCAAAATTAGTCTATTACATTCAATATTAGATTCATAAATTCCCTTTTTTTTCATTTTATTTATAGCATGCCTTTGATTAATGAATCGGATTATTTAATCAAATTATATTTCTGCAAATAAAAAAATGAATTACAATGTGTACACTTGATGATGTAAATCCACTGCTATATATGTGTGCGTTATTTCGGGACACAATAAACGTTATTTTGTAAATGTTAATTTTTAAAAGGTGTGATAACGCACATGCCCGTTATTTCGCGAGTATACGATAGTTCGAGAACCTTCGAATTAAATTTGAAAAACCTAATCACCGTTTTTGAACTCCAAAATAAATTATATACTTGCACAGCATACATGTATGCTGCACAAATGCAAAACTAGCGCTTAGTCCCGAAGGTTTTGTAGATGTACATTTACTTACAGGGTTCACTGTATGCGCTGACAAATGCTGATCTAGATGGATAAAGCGAAGCAAAGAAACCAATTAAATGTAACTTGTTGCTATAAAATTATCAACCTTCGAACATAACGATAGCGATTAGAGGGAATATAAGTTTGTGATTATTCGACTGTATTTGTAGATAGCATATAAATTTAATTAAAAAATACAGTGAAAACTCTGAAGCCAACTCTATAGATGCAAGATATGACTTGGACCCACGCTTGTAAAATTTGCTCCTTGTAAATGCAAATTTCCCTAAATGCCTTTTGTTGACATATATAGAGATGTATCACAGTGCACGTATTAGCCCATTAACATGATATCATTATATATGTACAGTTCATGTACATAGTTACATTTAATAATAATACATTTGGAAAGACAATAGCGACAAATTTTGTATAAATTTGTTGACAATTATCACGATAGAAAAAGCAGGTTCAATTTAGGTTACTATCAATTCTGGTTTACTCAATACTTGTCTCGATAACGATAAATAAAAATAAAATCATGAAAGTTGCTATAAACATCTTATTATATCTTTTGATGATTGTAATCCTTGGAGATAATTATGTCATTGGGGAAGGTGTGTATTTTTATTATTGTAAAAGTTTTAAAAGTATCGAATAAATTAATTAAAAATCATATATTTATAAAAAGTAGAAAAACGTACAATCAATAAACGTGTACCAGAACCTAAAGCCAAGGCTATAGTAAAGCGTGTGCCCGAACCTAAAGTTAAATCTATTGTAAAACGTGTTGAAGTTCTAGAACAAGAATTCCTCCCTATAGATTTAGGTGATTTAAATGGAAAAATCATAATAGACAAATAAGATATCAGCAACATATTTTTTCCCAATTTATTTAAATTCAAATAAATATGTTTAATGATCCGTAGAAAATAGTATCTACTTAACCATATAAAATTCGTAAACTTGTTAAAAATGAGGAATGGTTCCTCTGTAGAAAGAAATCGCTCGTAAATACACTCTATAAATGAACATTCACTTTCTGGTTTGGTTTCAAGTCTCAACTATACCTATCTTTGCAAAACAACACCATCTGCGCGTTACAAAAGTCAATTTTTTGCAAAACCTGATTTTCAAAATGTGTCTGTACATCTATAAAAAATAAAGCTCGAATAAATATGCTTATTTTGAATATATGAACTTTTTTAGTTCTTTCACTTATTTGTTGCTTGGCTTTACATTTTAATTAGACCTCCTCCTCTTTATGTTTTTTCTTGTATTACAGTATATGATATAAAGTGTGATCACTATTTTTATTTGTTTTTCTTGCATGTTTTTAATTTATTTACTAGTAAACATGAGCATAATACGAAGTCATATTATCGCATTCAACATGAAAAAGTTTCATATACAAAAGCTAGATTTAACCGTCATGTTTCTTTATATTACGAATCGATTGGAAATGGGCTCAAGAATAATTATAACAAAAAAGAGCTCGGGTCTATCAAATTTGATTGCAACAAATTGACTAAACAATTGTTATATCACTGAGATCGACATTCACTTTTTTTCCGTGTTCATCAAATACTCATAATTATAGTAATTGTTTACCTTTGACATATACATAAATGGGAAATTCATCACTGATGAAT